GGCTCCCAACTACTTACCAGGTCAGAGTGTTTGGCTTTCCTCCAAAGATCTCCCACTCAAGACAGAGTCGAAGAAACTCACGCCACGTTATGTCGGCCCCTTCATCATCGACTCAGTTATCAACCCATCTGCAGTAAAACTCAAGCTTCCCCCACACATGAAGGTTCATCCGACATTTCATGTTTCTCTGTTAAAACCTGTTGCCAGCAGCCCCTTGTCTCCTCCAGTGAGTGTTCCCCCACCCCCCCGCATCATCAATGATCACCCAACCTACACCGTCAGGCGATTGTTGGACGTTCGTCGCCGGGGAAGGGGATTCCAATATTTTGTGGATTGGGAGGGCTATGGTCCAGAGGAGAGGTCTTGGGTTCCCCGGCGAAACATCGTGGGTGCGTCCCTGGTTCGGGACTTCCACCGGGATAACCTTGGTAGACCTGGTAGACCGCCTGGAGGCGTCCCTTAAGAGGGGGGTACTGTGGTGGCTCTACTCTTCAGCCACCTCCCTTGTGAGTGTGTGTTCCCTTTCCCTGTCTGTGTGGGCGTGGTGGCTGTCACTCCTGGCTCCCGGCTCAATCTCCACCTGCTGCAAATCTCCACCTGGTGCAATCAGCTTTACACACCTGATTCCCATTCAGCCATTTACTAATGGTATATCAGCGGAGGCTCCACAACATGTCAGCGCCAGATCGTTGTTTAATCCCCAGTGGTAACTCTCAGCCTTCTTAGCCGATTTAAAACTATTTCTCTGTACACGGAATACTTTTCTCATCTGTTTCTCTTATGCTCCAGGATCACTATCCAGCCGCCTTGTTACCATCACCTGCCGCCACCAGTCATCATTCCAACCGGATTACTCTCCACACTCACCAGTCTTCATTCCTACAGGATTACTCTCCACGCTCCTCCACCTCACAATAAACCTTTTTCCAACACTCTGCCGTGTCCTGCGTTTGGGTCCTATCGGATATCGTAACAATCTCAGCCTCTCAGTCTGACAGGAGAGTTCTGCCTCCACCTTGTTGTTGAAAAAGATCCTTATATCCGTTAGCGTAGCTAGCTAGCACCAGATGCTAACAACAACAACAATCTCCGGTACCAGTGCGCGCTCTCTCTCTCTCTCTCTCTCTCGCTCGCTCGCTCGTGCACGCACACAAAATGGCTCGTGCCACACACACACAGAGCCGAGCTTGAATGAAACACGGAGACCCAGAAGTAGCCTACGTGTAGGCCTACTGTAGCATATTATTTTCGAATCAATCATTTTTCTAATTATGAATTTCACACATAAAAATAAAAAAAGACACATACATTTCTTTGGGGTGCTTAGGGGTGCTATGGCTATCCTAGGGGGAGCTTCAGCACTATGGGGGGGGGTGCTAGTGACTTATCCGACCGGCCCACCTCGGTACCGCAAGTAAATTACCGCTAGTAAATTACCGCTAGTAAATTCTCAACGGGGGTGGGGGTGCTAGTGACTTATCCGACCGGCACACATCGTCCGACCGGCCCACTTCAGTACCGGCCCATCGGGATTCGTCCCGAACGTCCCGATGGCCAGTACGCCACTGTCGCTGAACCTGTAATAAGTGACCCGATAGTAAAGAATACATATATTTATAACTAGTTTAGCTAGTTCCAGAGTAGATGAACTAGCTAAGTGTGCTAGGTCTAACTCTTAAGTGTATTTTGCTTCGCTCAACGGTCCGTCACAGCGGGGGAGCTGTGATCCGGAAGAGCTGCGTGTTCTCCGTCAGCAGCAGCTGATCTGATCTCTGATCTCTCTCTCGCGTCCAGTTATACTTCACTCGCGTTTATGTCCAAATCTATCAGATCTAGCTAGTTCTAGTTAATTATATGACTGACTGCTTATCAAAGGACCTAAACAATAAGCGTTGCTTGGCAACGGCGTGTGGCCGCAAAGTATAGCGCAGCATTATGCATATGAGTAGTCAAAATCCCATGCTCATAAAATGCTCATATTTTTTTTCTCTTCATTCCCCACGCCCCAAAAATAAATAAATAAATAAATATACCAATTTTAGGAAAAGTAACGAAGTTTGAGCAGTGTGGGTTTTATATTAACAGAGTTACACATATTTCAAAACGCGAAGTGTAATAACTGCAGTTTGCCTCCCTGTCAGAATGACAAAGATCCTCAGTGAAGCACAAGCCCATGTTTCTCACTAAATTGTAAGTACAACTTATTAAAAAGATCAGTTCAATGCAACTAATGTCGTCTTAGTGTTATTGCATGATGTTAAAATTGGTTGGCCATGAATTTAGTGATGGATTGTAAACATTTTAAATGTAGCATTTAAGTGTTTCTCAGTTACAATGTTGTTTTAATAAATCAGACACTGATGGTGCAAGGCTGTACTGTACCTCTTTAGTTTATATAGGCTTTTTTCCCCTAACATTGTTTTTGCGCTGATCAGGGGGTACTTGGCTGAAAGGGGGTACATTCTTGAAAAAGGTTTGAGAACCACTGCTTTAGACAACTGCATTTATTCAAATTTCTCACCAAAAACGTTACTTTTAAAGATAACATTTGAACACATTATAATTTACCTTCACGTTATACTCATTTGTACATATATTAAAGAGTCACAATGTATCTGAATGGGACCTCTGATCACTGTTAACAAGCTCTCCTCCTGCTCATTTCAACAGGGATTTGATGTTCACAAGGTAGCATCATCAGTGTGGGAAGAGGAGAGCTTTATTTAGCTCCATGCTTTTGGATATTTGTTGTATCTCTCCTGCTCCTAACACACTGAGACTGATACAGCATGTGTATTGTTTATTTGTACATGGCAAAATGTGGGAAAGCATTGATAAAATAAATCAAGAGTCACGGAGGAAACCGTTATTAACTGAAACCTGTTTTTCACTCCCACCCCTAACCAGGGCAGAAAGTGATACAACATTATGAAGTGCCCTCCAGGCGGCCCCTGCATGAGAGGAAAGGTCCTGGACTGGAGAAGATGTAAAGCAGTGCCCCACAGGCTGCCCTACCATGGCCCGTTCTAGGGAGGGGCCACAGGGGCCAGTGCCCTGTAACACTGAGCCCCTGTGGCCCCCCTCCAGAGAGAGAAAAATAGTCTGTGATAATATAATTAGTGATAGTGTTGAAGCATAATTTGAGCCAAAGTTCTGGGAATGTGTTTGTTTTGTTTTTTTAAAACAATTATTTAAGCTTTAAAAATGTAACAAAGTTACTAACACAAATTCGGTAACTGAAAGAAATACCAATCATGGGCTTTTGTGGGTTTCTCTTGTGGCTATGACTTTATACTAAACTACCACTGTGTCCTGCTGCATGCTTGAATACTTTCTGATGCCAGTGCCTTTTTTCATTTTTTTTACCCCTGACCCTCAGACAGCTGGGATCCGCCTCTGTCCGGTACTGTAGAGACAACATATTTTAGTATGGCTGACATGTATGGTTCACACAACACACATGAGTCCGGTCTCCTCCATCAGCTGGCAGCACCTCGCTTCTGTCAGCACTCAGCAGCAGGGAGGTACTCAGCAAGGCTGTCGGGTAGCTTCCTGCTAATAACTGTGCTATGTTAGCACAGAACATGAGGAGACTTGTGACTGCAGCATGACAACAACAACCGGTCCATTCTCTGCCAGACCGAGCTGATGTTCGGCTAGATAAGTACTGTAGCTAACATATGTTAGCTTTGACTAAAGCTAGCTGATGCAGCTAATTACTCCTCTTTGCTAGCACGGTTGCATTTAACTGATAGTCTGCTGTCAACATGACTCGGACATGTTCCTCTGCTTGAGACACATCAGGCTGAGCTGCTTGGTTGTGTGTCTAACCTTGAGAAGTGATGTGAAGTTGTCCTGAAAAGGTTTACTGCTGTTTATCTGTGTCAATCATTAGCTGGCTTTAGCCTCTTTGGATGAAGCGCTACTCCGCCGGGTTGCCAGGTGTCTTAAAGGGAAAGCTGCAATAAAGAGGTCACAGGACGATTCAAATCATTTATAATAAAATAATATAATTTTAACTTTTTCATGTTACATTTGTGTATTTCTCATATTCATTGATTTAATCTATTTTTAGAACATAAGTCAATTAAAAAAGAACATTCATAACGTGTACACAAAATGCTTTAACCTGTGACACAGGCAGGATGAAGTGTTTACTGACACTTATTTGATTTATTGTGATATTGTCTGACAATCAGAGAAAAGCAAGATATTTGTCGAATTTGAAGAAAATCCTGGGAGATGATGTTAATTCGAGTCCAGAAGATAAGGATAAAAAAAATAAAGATAAACATAAATGTTATATAAAGAGTGCTAAGACATGGCAACTCTGGATTCGGCACATACTCTTAAAGGATGATTGATATCACTATTGATCCCAAACATTTTCAAAATGATGATTGCAAACAATACAATAACAACAATAAATTAAAATGACTCCTTAAGGAAAAGCTTTTTGGGGCAACATATAAATAAAAGAAACACACATCAAATATGTTCAGTTATTTGAGTATAGTATCTACTTTTGGACTAAATTACAATTTGCGTAAAAAATATAACGTCAACAGAGTGTAAAGTTGTGGTTATACATTTTAAACATGACAGATTTAAGATTGAATTATTTGTAAATGTATAGAATAACCATGGCCAACTTTAAATACATAAATACCAAATACAATGTTATCCCCAATGTCACTGGATTTGTACTTAAATTCTATGATTATACTAAGAACATACTACTGTCTACTTGTAAGGAGAACTCTTAAACGACAAATGTATGCCTAGTATTAGTTTTATTCCATTTTTAATAGAGATAGCCGAACAAATCTCCAAAAATACCCCAACATTTTTTATTTTAAGTCACTTTAAGTGCTGTGTATCAACTGGGTCTGACCACAATTCATATATTTAATACAGTATTATGTTTTGAATGATAATACATACATGCTTGGTCAACAGTTTCAAAATCTAATTGAATTAAGAATAAAAAGAGGAGTCTGTTTCTTTGTGTTGCATAATGTCCATGTTTATTTCATATATGACAATGTGTTTAGTGTACACAAACATTTGACGCTAAACTCCAACACTCAGAGACACCGACTGAACTACTGCCCATTTCAGATTTAAAAATGGGTGCAACTTTATAATACACTGTTCACAGCAATCATGTTATATACAATGCAAAGTCATTTGAAGAAAAAAAATGCACTTGTGCAACTTGAAAATAAATAAAGACGTGGAAGCACAAAAATGTAGATGATATCTTTCAAATGGGGTTAGAAAAAGTAGATCTTGTGAAGGCTGACAGCATGATGGTGAGATGGTGAGGTTGAGATAAGAGTGAAAGTGTGATTATAATGAACCAGCCTCCCCTCTCATGTCAGTGGACAGATTACAAGAGGTGTATCCCACACTTTTGTTTAGTTCCCTGACAGTAAACCCACCTACAATCAATCAGGAATCAGACTGTGAACACAAAAGACACACAACCACTCCAGCAGAAGAACTGTTTCAAATATCAATGTACATTCAGTGTGATTTGTTGTGTTCGACTGCACCAAGAAAGCTTTGGTTGGCTCAAAAGTGACACACAAAGAGGCCCATTAAAAACACGAGGAATAATCTCAACACAAAGATCAAACTGGAGCAATCCGAGGCTCACATTTTAAGATTGTGTTTTTAAAGGAAATGAGACATGAGTGCTTTTGACGGTGTCATTTACACCAGGGCTTTCTCTCCATGATGATGCTGGATAAACCACGACTGCAGTCTCTGCCAGGAAAGTCTGTGATCGCAACAGGGATCACAGAACACAGCCAACAAAAGAAATGAACACACATTAGACCGCCTGATTAGCCACAACTGCTGACAGCTATGGAGGATTTACAAGGTTTTGAATGGATCACTTCAAACAATTGCCCACAACCGACAGAATACTTTCAAATCTCGGGATATATGCTTGAATAAAAACAAATACTTAAATTGCAGTTAGAATGTAATCCCCTGCTCCCATTTACTGTGCCATCTTACAACAAATCATATTGTTAACAGTTGAATGCTTTGAGATGTTGTCTTAGTTTGCAGGTGAAATGTCTCTTCTGTAGCACGCTCTCTAGGCTGGCTGACCTGAGGCATGCTCATCCTTAAACTTCACACAACATCTCACACGCTGAATCTGTCACTAGTTCAGGAGCTTTCAGATTCATAATTATCAGGAATGCAATGTATACAAAATGCACTGTAGCAAAGATCGAAGGTATACATTTTCTAAGTCTGATCGAAATCATTTTCTTTTGTTACGAGTTATCAGGTGGAGAAAAAGGTTTTGCCAGGATAATCTTTCTTAGTTCCTACATTTTTTTGATAGGAAAGACGTTTATTTTAAATGAGGGTTCTTGGTTGTTCTTGTTGTAATACTCATTTAGGCCACAAGAGGCTTTAGTGCACCTCTACCATGTGTTTTAAATAGGATTCATGATTTCTAGCCAGAAGAAACATATCACAGAAATGTTACAAACTGTACCTGAAAATCCCCTTAAAGAAGATCAGACTTAGGAAATGCATCAACAAAATGATTTTCCTTCCCTCTCAGGGTTCAAATCAGACGTTACGTCCTTGAAGTATACTCTGTGTTATGGACAATTAATGACATCCGATTGCCAGTTAAGATATGTAATAGATTTCTGTCTGATAATGTAGGTGATGATGATAAGCAGAAAGGTACAGTATGATCGGCAGACACTTCCAGAACAGTAGCAGCATGGAGAATGTAGTTTCAAAGCAACTGGTGCAGAGGCATACTGTACAGTCTGATTGAAAAGAGAGGCACTACATTGAATCAATATACATATCATTCAGAAAACGAGTTTCTTATTCTGTACTGTGAGGAACATTGATACTTTTGATTATTTAACAAGGTAGCTTTGTGCAGCTGCGGATGGACAGACCATCTTTATGTCTGACAACACATCGACCTTTTCAGATGTATATTAGTAGGGGTCAAAGGTCAGGTGTGACTATCCAAATCTTACAGGGGATAGTATTATTCAAGTCATTTTCAGCTTCACAAAGAAATTGGCCAATCGTAAATTATTCAGCCGTTTAAATAGCTGTATGGGCACAATGCTGTCTTATTCAAACATTTAAGGAACTCATATTAAAAAGTGCGATGTGCAGAAATTGCACAGTACTACTATTTTAGAAATATAAATGTCTTTGTAAATAAATACATGCAGAAATAAATAATAAAGCTGTTAAATATCTAAATATATCACATTTTAAACAAATACAATTCAGGTAGAGAATGGGATTCAATTGGGAGGATTATTGGTGATGACATTGAATTTCTTTTGGTGTGAATGTAGATACCCTCGGTGCTCCTAAGAGAAGCTAAAACATGACATGGATTGATCAGAATGCCACATAACATAAGGTCTAAGATGAGATGTTCCTTTGCCAGGCTGTGTGTGCTAACGTTTCTGAGAAGTTTAGGAGTAGGACAGCAGATTGCTCCATGTCAGGATTCACGGTGCAGGAAAGAAGATTATTCTAAAGAATTACACTCAACTGTCCTTTATTTTCTTTAAGCGTGTATGTTTTAGCTGAATGCAAACCAGTTTAGACACTGTATATATACTGTATATAGCTGTAGAGAAGAGAACATTCTGGATGTTTTTTTCTATATTTACTGATGCAAATGAAGCAATGTGATCTCGCTGACATGACAGCTTCACATCAAAAGTAAACGTCACTGCATTTTTTTGAGGATTAAATGACTAAGGCTTGATGTGTCACCGACAACAACTACAGTACATTACCATACGTATGTAATCTGAGATAAGAAACTGGTGCTACTTCCTCCAGTCTTCTCCAATCGTCCAGCTATGAATAAACCTCAGTACAGGAAAGTGACAGCTTTTTGAAGAGTTTCTTCAGACTACAGTCACACCGCAGCAAAAGCCTGACACAAAAATGGGCGCTTTAGGTGCTGAGGACACTAGTGATAAGCTGAGGACGTACAGGGGTAAGATAGTTGTTGGAGACTGTTGTAGTGGGGCTGGGGGAGGGGGGGGCAGCACAAGGGGAGGGACAAGGACAAGGATCTATGTACATCTTAGTCTCTGCGTTCATCCTTCTGTCTCGTCTCACATCCTCATCGGTCCGGCTCGTCTTCTCGACAGCTTTGACCTGAGAGGCCGAAAGGAGAATACATATTTGTATTAAGGATACATTTTCCACTTCTGTTTGTGCACTTTTAGCTGTTGAAGTATTTTTTACCTGATAGTTCCTGCAAGGAGGGGATTAAACGCATAGAGCCAGTCATGCATCTCTTTGTCATTAATGGCTTGAAGCAATATTCCACGATGTTCTGTACAGACGGCAAATGTGTACGGGGTCTGTGGAAAGAAAACAAAAGACATATGGAACCGTATCTGAGGCTTTCACCAACAAGAGCTGAGAGAGGGAGTAACAGATGACGTCATCAGGATACATACAAAGGTAACTGTATTCAATTACAATTACATACAAATAAGTAATCAGATGACTTGTATATAAAAAAGAGATTACTAGCAGGATAACATAGTTACAATACATTTTGAAATAAAGATCAATATATTATAGGTAGAAGTAATGAACACATTTTCTTTATGGTTTATATTTAGGCTACTTTAATTCTTCTTTAGAAGAATGACCGTGAAGATGTTTTATCTTCACAGTCAACTTATATATTTTCTACTCTCTAATGCTGTTTTATTTCTATTTTGAGATGTTTACATTTTAGAATTGTATATTTCTACTCTTTTAATTTCTTATTATGTGCAATGCCTTGTTTTACATGCTGCTGCAACGGAAACATTTCCCAATATGGGATCAATAAAGTACATCTTATCTTATCTTTATTTTAAATACATTTCTTTTTGAATGCAGTAGATGGACACCTGATTTATTAAACAAAAGTACAGTCTATGCTTTTGTTTAATGCATTAGGTTTAAAGAGCATTTGTTAAATATAACTGTTACTACATTTTTTATATGAAATATCTTGGCTTCTTCTTTTCTAAGGTTACATTGTTGCATACACTAAAGTAAAAATCATCTTATTGTTATTTATTTTATCCTTTTTATTTGCATTGCATTTGATATTGAGGTTTTCCAAAAGTAACGGAAAGTATTCAGGTTACATTACTTTTATATTTTGATACTCATATTGGGTTACTGATTCGATTTTTTGTCATGTAACTAGTTATTGTAACGCATTACATTTTGAATGTTCCCTCCAGACCCTGATCACCGACCTTCAGCATGGCCTGCTGGTCCTCGCTGTACTCCACCTGAGCCGAGGACAGGTTGAGGATAGCACGCTCCACAGAGTCTCTCTCTGTGTTGTAGATGTAGACGTACGGCCGCCGCACCACCACGTAGCGCTTCACCCACCCGTTAGTGTTCGGCTCCAAGAAATGTATGTATCCCTTCTTTGACACGATGGGGCTGCAAGAGTAGAGTTGAGAAATCAGCACATGTGAAACAGAAGAGTGTCTCCACAGTCACTGAGGAACACTCACCTGACTCTGATCTCCTGGATGTCGGGGAAGAACCTGCGGCTCCGGGCTCTGCTTTCATAGGCCCCGGTGATGGACTTCTTCTCTGCGTCCTGCTGTGTGTCAGGACTGGGGCTGACCGCACGGGAGCGAGGCATCGGGGGTCTGCGGTACAGGAACAAGAGGCTCATAAATCATAGTTACATGGCAGCTACCCACACCTGATGCAACTAAAGCACTCTGCAATGAGTGACATCACTGTTTTCTCAGAGCATCACACTACCAACAATTTGATTCAAAACAAGGAATAAAAGAAAACACAGTCTGCAGTATACAGAATTTGGTTAATCCAGACTCATTAAACAAAGGCAACGAAAACAATTACCCTGTGTGCCTCACTCCTTAAATGACAACGATGTCTGCATCCCTCAAAAACTGTCATCAAACCTTTATTAACCAGATTGGTCCCATTGAGATCATAGATCTCTTTTTCAAGGGAGACCTTGTCATACAATCATCAACAAATATTATGTCAGATGTTTTAATTCACAGTCTTGAAAATGCCAATGATTAGCAACAGCATGTCTTTTTCATACAATGCATACAAACTGCAGTGCTCCATTATACAGCAGCAATGCCCCACTGTAAACCAGAAATAAAGCATGTATTTGTCCTGTAGCTCAATATGATGGACAATACTTATTTTGTATTATCCTTATATATATTAATACCTACTATTGAAACTTATTTTCTTAGATTGTTTATGTTTGCACCACCAGATACCAAAGCAAATTCCTTGTGTGTGTAAACGTACCTGGCAATAAACTTGATTCTGAATTGAAAAAACAAGAACGCCAGGGCTCTGGATTGAAAGGCTGATGTAACTGAGTGCTTGTAAGCTGTGATGGCCGTGGGATAAAGAAATGTGGTTTCAATGAGGACATTTGTGTCCTCAAGAATCTGAGTGTCTGTATTTTTGCTGAAAGAGCTGAGGTTGAACTCCCAAAATGCCAAATAATTATACACACCTGTGTATCCCATATGCAATAACACATTTAAAATGATAGACAAATTAACACAAAAGCCAAAAATGTTAACAAGTACTCACCTGAGTTCAGTGTTGCCATAGCAACCATCAACCAGCGAAGGGCATGTTGAGGAAGGTGTGATGGTGTTGAGAGCAGAGATTGAAGCTGAGTCTCTGAGCATTGTGATGGACATCTCTGAGAGCTGGTCACACACACACACACACACACACACACACACACACACACACACACACACACACACACACACACACACACACACACACACACACACACACACACACACACACACACACACACACACACACACACACACACACACACACACACACACACACACACACACACACACACACACACACAACACACACACACACACACCACACACACACACCACACACACACACACACACACACACACACACACACACACACACACACACAAGACATGCTTGTCAACTGTGAGGAACAATCAGACGTACATCATATTTTTTCTTTTTTTCATGTCTCGGTTTAAATGTGAGTGTTTTGAGCACTACCTTGCTTTCACTGGCGCTGACACACACGTGAGTGTATTCTCGGTTAAAGGAGTGAGTGAGCAGCCGCAAACACTGTGAACAAAAGACAGAGAGTCTCTAAGATTAGATAACAGATAATGAAATCAGTAGATCTGTAATATAATCAAAATGAAGGTACATTCAGCACAGATTTGACGAGACAGAGATCATAGAGTAGTAGTGTTACAAAAAAACAATCAGGACTGCATGAAGTCAAAATGAACTTCAGGTTTTATTTGTGATGTAGCTGACCTTGGCAGCGAGCTCCCTCTGCCTCTCGGTGATCTCAGAGCTGCAGCTGACCTCCTGCTCCACCTCGGGGGGCTGAGGAGTCTCATTCAGGTCCTCGGTGACGCAGGACTGCAGGGAATCCTGGCCCATGAGCATTGTAGACTCCAGTTTCTCCCTCAGCAAGAGGTAATGCTTGGTCTTCTCCACCTGATAGAATGGGAAGAAAAACAAGAGAAACAGCTGCTTTTCGTAACATAAATCATAATTGTGGGGGAAACTTCTGTAGCAATGGAGGAGTCAGGACTCAAAGAGAGACACGATGGAGAGCTGGAGCTTCGATGGCAAACACTGACGGTTTATTTGGTTTTTCGGCCGGAGAATTCACAAGACATGTCAAAGGGCCACGAGTTGACCACACGCTTGAGATGCCACAATCAATTCTGAAGACCCCTCCTGTAGCTCGAGGTTTAACTAGTTCAGAGTGTAATAATCAACATTCTTCAATAGGTAGACTAAACAGCTGAGGACACTGAATCACAGTTGTTGTCGCTTATGGCTCGGGGTCATCTACACCCCGAGAAGGATGTGTTCCAGGTGTCCTACAACAATAACTATCTCTGACCGAGAGTTGCCCGCTCACAAACTGGTAACAACAACAATATGCTTGGGCAGCCCCTCCTTAAGGGAGATAACGGCTGCTCAAGGCTGGTCAGCTGCGTCAGAGGGAGAAGGAGGACATGCAGGGCAAATTATTCCCCAACAATAATCATAATTGATATTCTCAGAAAGGGTTTTGGTTTCGTACTGTAAGGCTATTGAAAGTTTTTCTTCCTATTTTTCTTTTACTCATTTGAATCCATTGGTAAAAAAGTCCTATGTGCTCATCTGACCTGTGGAGTCCCTCATGGATCCATCCTGGGTCCTGTCTTGTTCTTCCTTAGCTGTTAGTTATGCTGTGTCTCTGATTACTGATCCACCAGTGATGCCCACTTTTGTGAAAACAAGGAAACTATCCAATTCCAACATTAAATAATTTGTTTCAAATTGTTTGTTTGTAGCCTTTATTTAACCAGGTGAAAGCCCCTTGAGATCAAAAGATCTCTTTTTCAAGGGTGACCTGCAGCAAAATGATGGTAGACTTAAATGTCTTATAGTTTTCTGCAGTTGAATCACTGTAGACGTTTTTGTCTTGACATTTGTACACCTGCATTTAGGTTCCCTGGCTACTAACTTAAAGGTGAGTTATAGAAACCTCAGATTCATTTATAGTCCCAGTTTAACTTAAAGAAACATCTTAGTGAGGTAGTCCTGTTATTTTAATTAAGAAACAATGCACTATTACGCCAAACACTGTAGCACTATTACCATTTGTTCAGCATTTGCTTTTAAAAGTTAAGAGCTTTCCTAATTTAGAACCTTTAAATATCCATTTAATGCATATGGCATAAATATTGGAAAGGTTTCAATTTAATTTTTAATTTTGAAGGTATCAACACTAGTTAATTTGATGAACCTATAATAATGGGTGTAGACACTTAAAATGCAGACACTTACAAGAGACCCCCTAAAATATCTACATGAAACCCATTAAAGACAATGTTTGATTGCTATCGTAAAACCATGCATTCTGATTCTGATTCTATTATATCAGGCCTTGGCTTCACATTTGTAGTTTCTACTATGTCTCACCAAATATAGCTATTTCTCTTGTTTTCATATAAGGCCAATAGGATCTTTAACTTGTATCCACCTTTTGCTGCTGCAATATGGAGAACTGCGTCAAACACTGCTTTGTTGTTGCTAATCACTGACATATTCAAGAATCAAATAAATGTTCATGATGAAATAAAAAGAAACTGGCTTTTAAAGGGCTATGATTCTGGCAATGATTAATGTTTTGTAGCTATGATCTAAGACTGAAGTTGGTTATGAACTTTAACATATATGAATATATGATTTTGTATCATATATTCATCAAAGCAACATATTTAAAGAGATGTAAAAGGTGAAATAAAAATAAATGGCCGTTACATCTTGCAGGAGGCTGAGTTTCTCCAGCTCCCACTGGTGGTCCAGAATGAGGCTGTCACTTCGGGGCCTCCACCCGGCCAGGTTCTCCTCCCCGCGGACGTAGGCCACGGAGGTGTCCAGCACCCGCCTACGTCTCCTCTGCATACCTGGAATGGTTAGAGTCAGTGTTAGAAATGTCGCATAAGTGAGCAGATGCAAAATGAGGACTTAGTCTCGACGCTCACCTGGGCTTCCTGCATCTGCCAGGTTACACATGCTGACCTCATAAACTCCAGTAACACGGTTTCTACAAAGTCAAAAACAGAGCTCTACATTAAGAAAAATCACAGGAGTTGTTTGATTTTTTTCAATGTTTGAAGTTTAAAACTCACCCGTCTGCCGCTCTCAGGCTTCCAGTGCCAAAAAGGTTCCGGATGGAGCGCGAGGCTGAGAGCTTTGTGTCTCGTGAGTAAAACACCATGCAGATATCTTTGGTTATGATTGCGGGCTGGGTGCAGTTCTCCATCTTCAATTGATAAGAGAAAGAGGAAGGACATCAGACATGAATCACCTCTGACACTGTAAGAGCTATTTGTTCTCATGATCTCAGGCTCTGTGCTGTACCTCCAGGTAGGCCGAGAGGGTCATGTAGATCTTCTCTCCATATGGAGTGACTCTGTTTAGAAGCAGGGAGTTGTGCATGGAGCTGTCCCAAGCAGCCTCGAAGCGGAAGAAAGTCCTAAGTTGATCAAATGAATCAGCTGTTAAAATGTAAGTCCTTCTACCTGAACAACAAATAAGCAGGCAGAGCTAAATACATGCTACTGTCTGTCTTTAAAATACATATGCATGAGTAGGAGCTTGGAAGTTAGCAATGCACTGCTGTGGCCTCTTAGAAAGGTCCACATAAAAAAAAAAATCAACATCAGTTTAAGTGTACACTTAATTAATTTGAACATGGAACTAAAGCTCTCTGCAAAGCCACCAGACTCCTAAAAAACAATAATTTGACCTAGCAGAACACAAACGTTGTTGGTCTGCCGCTGCCTTGATCTGGCAGTTAGTTTGTATTATTGTGTGACTTTAGTGAATCCAAACTAACCCTTTGAATCATATGATTCAGTGTACATTTAAACAATGGCAACATTTGTTGGGTGGTCATAAACATGTTTGCTTTTGCCCCCCATCCACAGCAGTGCATGTCTTAGCTTATTTACTGGTACTCCCGTCTGCTTCTGCAAACTAGGGGTGTGACAACTGCTATATTCTGTAATACTGTTCCTTATAGCTGAACCATCCCTTTAACAACAACTTTCAATATTAACAAATATTTCACAAACAGAAAGATAAAAATAGGATTTGATAACATAATATTAGGCTTTGTAAAACAGATATTATCATTTTATGTTGTAGTAAGTAGTCATCAAATCTAAGTCAAACAAAAGTGCTAATGAAACATTTCTGCATGCAACAGGCTGATTTAGTTGATGTACAAACCACGACAGAAATGCAAATAGAGCGGAGGTGACTTTTAGTACAGAAAAAGGAGGGGGGGGGGGGGGGGGATGAGAGACAGCCAGAGGAATGAGGGACAGGGCAGTGAAATACCTATGGTCAACTCCCGAGGAAATGCTGTGAGGAAGAAGAAATCAGCAAAAGAATAGAAAGTGAGAAAGTTTGTTTGTGGTTGTGCGCTCGTGTGGCTGGGATAGTGTTTGTTTTCCACACTGTTATCTCATTATGTAAACACAGCTCATCTATAAGAGAACATGAGAATCCTGTGGAAGGTGCTCTAATCCTGCCCCACTATTGAGAGGGTTACATAACAGCCTTCCTGAAGCTAAACTGTACTGCTTTCTGCTACACTCTATGCGTTATAATGTACACGTCTTTTCTCATTACCCCTGAGTGGAAATAATCACACACAGGAAGCAGTTCTTTCACAGCCTTATATTTAAAAAAGATAATCCAAGCACGAATTGTAAAAGGAAACTAATGTTTTCGTAAGCCATAAAAACAGTCTGAAAAGAGTCTTCATGAGGTTCAGATGTTGGACTGATGTGACCTTGTCAGAGAGTGAACAATGTGTCACCCAGAATAAACAGACACAATGAACTGAGTGGACTCAGTAATGCAGAAACTCACTGTGGCTCTGTGTGAGTAAAGCAGATTCACTGCAAAGATGGCCAGTTTTTAACTAATTAGCAAGTGCATTAACACCCACATCACACATATAGACACACTTATTTCCTAGAAAAGTGTTCACTTTCATTACAAGGAAGCAATTTCCTCTGTGCACTACACCAACATGTGTTTCTCTGCCTTTTACTACCTCCTGCAGGAGCCAGGACTGAAGTCATGCTGGCGGAACATGCGAGGAGCCGTTTGTTCCTGGTGTTTGGCCAGTTTCAGCGAGGTAAACTGGCCACGATGTCGCATCATCGCAGACATTTTGAGAGGTGCTACTGGTGAGGTAATGGGTTCACTGGATTACATTTTAATAGCTGCATTTGAATGGCGTGCCAGAGGGGGTACTGTAAGTGATGTGATCCATGTTACAGCACTTGAGTAACAGTGGATGACTAGTGTTCCTGTTAATACTCTGTTGCTGTGATGGGAACCACTCTAGAGGTAACTAACAAAATCATATCCATGGATTCAAAATATTTCTTCACTGCAAAGGTCAACAATATGAGAATAACAAACAGAGTGGAAAGGGCAGAACATGGTCAGCATTTTCTGGATATTCTTGCTTCGGACAGTTTGTTTCAAAAGAACTGTGATCACTTACACTCTCTACTGGCAAATACAAATACATCTTACCAATATTGCATTTTTTCAACCACATTGGGAGTGCAACCATGTTTGATGTGACTTTGCTGCTTTTTAAATTCATCTGTGAATAACTCAACATCTAGAAACAATCAGGAAGACAGAGTAAACATATATTTTAAATAAGATGTCTACAACATTTTAAAATGTCTTTTCCATCCAAAACAAATGCAGTGATCAAATATTGATTGTACAGTTTCTCACATCAGCCTTATTAGATAGTTCCTACAGCATCTGCTGAAGTGGGAACAGAGAGTGTGAGACTGAACACCACGACACCTCCAGCAGAGACACAGCCAACGGGAAGCAAAACCAGCCATGCAGACCCTGTCTATCATAAATCTGATAACAGCTCAAACACACACACCCAGCGCAGCAGCAAGAGGGGACATGCACAACCACACCCTCACTTCTCAGGAGGGGAGAAAACAAAGAGGCACGGATGAAATGCTGACAGTAATGGCAGAGTAGAAGAGAGAGTAACGACTTCATGGGAGGCTGGATTGCAGGGTGAGGAGGACGTTAGAGGGATGTTTGTGTGACTGAAGAGCATGAGAAGAGAGGCAAAATAATATACCTAGGCATGTCCGAATCAAGAAACTGTCTGCAAAAGCAAAAAAACAACAACATTCCGTTAGTGGACTGGAGGGAGAAAAATGTTAGCATCCATTTACACCTTGATGTTAGTCTCTGCAAGCCTGAGCAGGGCCCGTCCTGGACCCCCGCCTGGACCCCCGCCCCGCTGAGCCCTTACACCAGAATTCTTGACCATTGAGGCAAAACGAACGAGACGAACACTGAGGGCTGCGTGGAGCGTTCAGTAGATTTAGAGTAAAACTCAAAAACTCACAAAAATACTTTACAGTTTGTAATTTGAACACCAGATAATGTTATAAGTTTTGCAGAAGGATATTAAAAGAGAATCTAGACTGTTTTCTTTACATATAATACGCTGTAAATACACTGTGAGCACACAGAGTTATTGTGCCATAAAACAGTGGTTATGTTATGGTAGGAGGTTTTGGATGTTCAAAGACAAACCAGAAAAGAGTTGATCATGTTTTCATGCCACTAATGTCTGTCATTCTAAAACCCAAGGTCTTATTATTGTGACTGTAGTCTTAACATAAATCTACTGCCATCTACTGGTGAGCCTGAAAGGGACATTTTGGGCATTTTCATTGTTAAAGCATCTTGGCTGTGTTAATACATATGAGAGAAATGTTGATCTCAGATATGTGACATTTTGGAATTAAACCAAAATGGCAATGAATATTTGGTAGTTATGATCAGGACTAGAGTTGTTCAACAGATTTTACTTTGTTCAAAGTGGAAAATAATATATTATATATATGTGTTTCTGACAGACATGTTTAACCCTCTAAGGACATCAGAGTAACTTTAAAAAGTTACCAGGCCCATGTTCACTGTGGAAACTCCAGCATACTCTCCAACAACATGTCACAGTCACAAAGTGTTCATGTTAGTACAACTTTCTTCATTTCAGTCTGGTATTAGCAATGACATTGGTCTGTTGGGTTGTTGTTTCCTGTAGTTGTGAGTTTTATTTAGGCCACACCTTCTCCCTGCTATTCTACACACCAGACTGCAATCACACACCGCCAGATTGATTAACATTTCTGCATTGTCATATCCAGTTTGGTAATGTTAAATATCAGGAGTTTATCAAGGGATTCAAGAAAGTGATGAAGACATATTGTTTCTCTTGAGTTCAAATACAGAGAGTTTAGTGTTTTACACACAGACCCATGCTGGAGTTAAAAACACATGCAATTTTAATTTCGGTTTGTGTGATGAGGGTTCTTGGTAAAAAAACGAGTGGCTCTTAAAGTCTATAAGCAGGTGAGTTGGTAAATCTAATCTGTGTTGAGAAGTGACACGAGTTAGAGGTGAGGTGATAAACAAGGTCATACAGTATGCAACATGGAGGTACAATGATCAAACAAACGAAAAGCACAGATTAACAACAAGGAGGGTCGCACAGCCAGCATGGACAAGGGAATTCATAACTGCTGATGAGGCGGAAAATAAATAACTCTTTGATTCACTTTGCTCATGGTCACTCTAGATAGTTATGTGTGGCCTCCTGCATTTAGAGAGAGGAAGCTATACTCATGCAGGTCATGATGATAAAGTTAACAAAATATCTAGGTGAATCTAGTCTGATCTAACATTCAAGCTGTGTCTCTTGCCATGATTTGTCTCCACAAGTGCAGCTGGTCCCCTATGCCATGCGTTAGCCTGTGTGCTGTGTTTCAGTGCAGCTGACACAACAGTGAGATCCTGAGAGGCAAGAGAGAAAAACTATTCTGGTGATCCATTTTTTTTGTCTTCTCTAAACTGTTATCACATCTTTCACAGAAACACATCTTTCCAAATGATTTTTAAAAACGTCTGTGAAACATATTTGCTATTTGTAAAAACAGCTGAAGAGAAAAAGTGTTTGCAGATGTCAATGTTGTCTTGTACTCCCTTTGGGCAGGAGAGGCTGTGTATCAATACCCCATGAATTTAATATTACTCAAAACATTGATTTTTCTTCATATTGAGTCACCACTTTTTTTCTCTCACCTGCCTCTCAAGGCTTTCTGTAGATAATGTTGTTGTTTAAATGTAAATCAGAACAATATAATGGTTTCCAAATTCAGCAATGCTGCCATAAACAAACATATATATATGTCCACAAATATACAAATTACTACCAACCACATCATCTGAAAATCTGATCAAATGTACAGAAGATGGGCTGGCCCTGGCTTATTCTCTATTTACAAAGATCTGACTGTTCACATAGAAAGTGTAAAGCAGTACGTACCGGTCATCTCGCATGGGCCTGACATAGCCAGCAGACAGGATGTTGAGGGACAGGATGTTGGGGTCGATGATGGTCTCATCAGCTTCAGGCATGTTGCGGAGACGACCTAGGACGGCAGTCATGCCTCAGTTAGAACAGCTCGTAGACATACAGAGGCAATATGACTGATGATGCGATGGACCTTAACTTACCCACAACAAGCTCACGGATGTCTTTCCATTCCAATTCACCTCCTGACTCGTGTACAATAGTAACAGTGATTCTCCTCTGGAGGCCCTGTTTGTCAACAAATGATCAGTTGTCATGATAGGTTCATCTAAAAAACACTAAATGTTGTATTTGTTCAGTGTGATTGGCATACCTGATGCAGTAGGTATGTGCCATGGCAAGGCATTCCTCCTCTGTGGTCCACCACAGCAGGGATGTACCTGGGAAGACACAGATGAAAAACAGCTTCACGGATGTGGTCATGTGACGTTGTGACAGTGTGGAGACATTTGTTTCAAAGTGTGTCAGGATCATTATAACTATTCTATGGGAGACTTTAGAGGTAAGTGATAAAAAAATCAGTTTTGTTATCATCTATGTCTGATACTAATTGTTCCATCAATTGAGCTGTGAACAATTATCAGAAAAACAGGAGAGAAACAGTTTGGATCAGACTTTGAAAATAGATCACCAGAATTGATTTTTTTTACTTTTTCAAAGAAAACAAACTGGATGTTTGTGATGCAGGATACTCACTCTCCAGTGGCCTCCAGCTCGCAGATCTCAAAGAACACCATGAGATCATATTTGCAGTGACAGGGTCCGGCCTGAGGGCGGGTCATGGCTGTCAGCTTGGTCGCCGGTACTGTGATGAAGAAGGAGATAAAGAGTGTAAGAGAGGTTGAGGGTAGACAGGGAGCAGACTAGTGGTAACAGCAAGGAGCTGCTCTAAACCTACAAGGAGAGTGAAAGGGAAGAAGAATGGAAATCAGTGATGCAGGGAAAGAGAGGAACCATTAGTCATGTAGAAGGAGCTCCTTTCTTCATTTACATTCTTTTTTTTATAAAACTTAACTCTGGTTTTGTGGGTTCTCACTTTGCAACACAGCCCCTTGTAATAACAAATACTGTACATAAGGAAAAGCATATGCACAGACTTCTCCAACGGTATTCTACTTAATCAGATTTGATTTTGTTGATTGTTATTGATTGTAGAACTGATTCAATCTAGTCTAGCCTTGAGTTAAACGCAGTCCTTATACTCAAAGTAGTTCCCCAAAAGGAATTAAGAGAGGTTGAATTTGAAATCAGTAACATGCAGTTTAGCTCAAGCTCAATTCAGTATTTTCTACAGTATATTTAACATTCCCGACTGAGAGAGTATCTTTCATGACTGACGACTGAAGCAGAAAGGCGCCATGGTCCGGTTCAAAGAGGGAACTGCGAGGAGAATCCACCACACACACAGAACATCAGAGAGCCGATCCAACTGAATCCTGACACAATGAAACCCCCTTTTATATCAAGTCCTTTTTGTTTTGATGTAATACAGCTTCTAATAGTCATGGCAGTAGTAACCTCAGGTGTGGAATTTAAATGAAGAGCTCTGGGCCCCACCATCCCTCCTACAAACTGTATGAGAACGCACACTGATTGGTTGTTAAGCTTATTTTTGTTGTTGTTGTTTGTGTCTTTGAAGTTTCTTTGTAGTAAATGTGTGTATCCTTGTAGGCATTTTGTATTCCTTTGTGGTTTTTAGAATTTCTTTGAATTGACTTTGTGTATCTTTGTTGTCATTTTGTATTTATTTGTTGTCATTTTGAGTTTCTTTGTAGTTACTTGTTGTCTCCTTGCAGTCATGTTGTGTCTTTTTGTGGTTGTTTAGCCCATGTACATGTTGTTGTGATTCTCAGTGTTTATTTGCAGCTTTTTTGCATCTCTTTGTGGTTGTTTTGGTGACTTTATAGTCTTTTACGTTTCTTTCTTGCTGAGTGTTTAATGTTCTTGTCTCTTTGAATTACATTTGATAGGTAAAGGACATCGATAGTTTGGGCCCTAGGCCTGTCCCCGGTTGCCCATTCAGTAATCCTCCATCAGTAGATGTAATAAAAACATGCTCTTTTTTGTGAAACTCGCTTTTGTTTGTTGTCACGGTAGCTTGAGTTTTTAAACAAAGTTCTGCTCATCAAATTGCAGTCAATAAGTTCATTGTAATGTGAAATGGCAAAATGTACTTGGCTGTAGTATTTTTTCAAGTCACTTGAAGAAAAACACTTAATATAAATAGGCTTTCAGTGACAGGATTCTCTTGGATCTGACATCATAACCAACCCGGATTCTGAGCTTTAATAACTGAACAGATAGAGATGGGCGGGGCTGTCAGCTGAGCCTGCTCGTTTGCTTCCAGTAAGAAGGAAGCAGCCAGGCCAGCGGCAGACAGAGCGTGGCCTGACAACGAGTCCACCAGCGCCCCATTGAACACGTCTGGGACCAGGTATCGGATCAGGTCCAGCGACTTCTCCCGCTCCGGCGAAGTGTCATCATCAACTGCTTATACCCAACAACATGGAGCTAAGATCACATGACTTCCAGAGAGACTAGTAATAATAGACAATACAACATACAATAATGGTAAAATAAGGTCGCTCTGGGAGGAGTGTGTTTACCTGGTTTGGACAGAGGCATCACTCTTGGAAACTGTCTTCTGCAGGGACGTAGTGGACTGGTAGTGGAAATAACATGTGTCATTATATGAAAACACAATCATATACATTGCATCTTTGTCTGTACGGTAAATCAGTTCTTCCAGGTACCTGATGACGTCTTTACAGAGGGGGAGAAAAGGCTGTTTCTGGTAGTGTCCAAACACTTCAAACACAATGGGCTGAGTCTTGATGTAGTCCACAAAGGAGTTAGTCACTTCAACAGCAATCTATAAAAGAACACAGCATTGTTAAAACATGTCACCTATCAAAACAACTCAGCTCTTTATTAAAGAGGATCTGAGTGATACTTCTTACATTCTGCACATGGTAGAAGCCAAGAGGGGGGCCGCAGCCTGTGTTCTTTAAGGGTTCAGTGGAGAAGGCCTCATCATGACGGTGGATGAAACTGAAATCAATGCAAGTCACATTGTTGAATTTGAAACATTAAAAAAAGTTACATAATGAATACTGACGATCATAGGGCAAAAAATGTACAATGTAAACATTTTTGATGAAGTGCTTACTTGAACTGGCAGAAGATGTCAGCATATTCTGCAGAAATGCTGGAGGCTTGCAGAACCGTCACCCTGAAGGTGAAGACATTACCAATCCTCAGGTGCTCCAGGGCTGTGTCCAGTGGCCCATCCAGACTCTTTACTGGATTCTCGGGCTCATCGGCACCAGCTGTCGGGTCAACAAAAAAATCAGACACAGATGAAAGCTGGTATTCCAAGTAGTCAAGTGGATTTTTGGAGCAATCACGGGAAATTCCCAAAGAATGGATTCCAGCAGCTGATAAAACCAGGACTTGCCCTGTCCCGAGGTCTGACTCACAAAAGATATTGAGCACAAACACTATTAGACGTATGTAGCTGAGTGCTATTTGCCCTTCTTTTGTGCAGGGAGAGGGAAGAATTTATTTTATCCAATGACGTTTAGCTTTATTCATTCTATTTGGAAGACCCATCTGTCATTGCATCATGTCAGTGTAAGGCAAGGCAAGGCACATTTATTTATATAGCACCTTTCAATATGCGACAATTCAAAGTGCTTTACAAAATAAAAAAATAAAAAGACATTTAAGAATAAATACAGTAAAAACACATTACTGTATATAAAGGCATTTTACAACAGGCATTAAAAGGCAAAGATAATAAGATAAACACAACAGTTATACAATACATGAATAAAAAGCAAACTGCAGTGTGAATATGAGCAGTTCAATTAAAAGCAGTTCAATTAAAAGCAGCGGCAAAAATATATGTTTTCAGTCTCGATTTGAAAATAGTAAGAGTTTCTGCGGACGTGCACGATTCAGGCAGTTTGTTCCAGATTGTCGAGGCATAATAGCTAAACGCCGCTTCTCCATGTTTTGTTCTTACTCTCGGAACCGAGAGCTGACCCGTTCCTGAAGACCTGAGACATCTTGATGGTTCATAATTATGCAGGAGATCGTTGATATACTTTGGTCCTAAACCATTTAGTGATTTAAAAACTAGCAATAGAACTTTAAAATCAATTCTTTGGCCGACTGGAAGCCAGTGTAAAGATTTCAGAACCGGAGTGATGTGATCCACTTTTCTAGTGTCAGTGAGTACTCGAGCAGCAGCGTTCTGAATCAGCTGCAGCTTTCTGATAGATTCTTTAGTGAGCCCTGTGAATACACTATTGCAGTAGTCCAGTCTACTGAAGATAAAAGCATGGACAAGCTTTTCTAAATCCTGTTGCGACATTAGTTTTTTAATCCTAGATATATTCTTCAGGTGGTAGTATGCAGACCTAATGACTGTTGTAATGTGGCTGTTAACATTCAGGTCTGAGTCCATCACTACACCCAGATTTCTTGCTTTGTGAGTTACTTTGTAGTCTGCCGACTGATTACTTTTAATCGGTCCTTCTTTGCTCCAAAAACAATGATCTCAGTTTTTTGCTTGTTCAATTGGAGAAAGTTCTGAGTCATCCAGTCAGTGATGTGCTCAATGCACTTGTCACTGTACCATGACAACTCTTTACCCAGCTACAGTCTGTGTGTGACATCTCTTATTGGGATAAATAATTATAAATGACACTGTAACTGCGTGTGGCTGTTAGCACTGATCTTTGTGAATTAGACTGTTTTTGCCATGAGGCTCATTTGTATAGGAAGAAGGCATATTTGTTCTCAAATGCATGTATGTTAACACATTGAAAGTTGTGCAAATAGCACAAGAGCATAGAGACGCTATTTGTTTATCAGCAGTTAGAAATGCATCTCGTCCTTAGTTGGTGCTTGGGAAATTACACATTTTTGTTTTGTCCTATTTGTGCAGGTTTATCGACCGCAACAAGGTGCAAGTCACTGATCAATTTGCCTCTCAGGTGTTTTGTTGCATGAAGAATTATGAATGCATGATCTGTGTTTATGATTTGAAGGCAATGATTTGGTTTGATTTGGGCACGGAATCATCCTGCCTATTTTGACCACAGAGCTACTGTCGTTCCACCTTGAATTTCTTTTGCAGAAAGCATCAGTCTGGAGTGCCAGATTTAGGCCACTGTTGGCCCAAGTAGGAATATAGACAAAAACACACACTCCCAAACACAATGATACACTCACTCATTAAATACAATTACCCGCACATGTGTTATTGTTGACCTCATCGGCTGAGGGTCCCAGCTCTGCGATCTGCCCCTCCCCCTCCACAATACGGAGCTCCTCCTGTGAAACCCCTGAGTGGGACAGTCCCACAGAGCAGGACTCGGACTGGAACTGCAAAAGCAGGTTGATGAGCGGCCTGGTTAGCAGGTGAGCATATCACAGTTCATTCTGTATGTTCTAAGTACGGTGTTTTTTCTCTACCTTTTCATATTGCTTATCCTCAAAGGAGATTTTGGCAGTGCCTGACTGCCTCACTCCTGAGCCGTAGTCTGGAGCTTCCTCGTCAGCTGGAGGAAAACACAGAGCACCTTCACTTCACTCCCTCAAGAAGTCACACACAACCTGTCCTTATGATAGCCTCATGCCCCTACTAATCAAAAACAGTGGGGCTAGGGATCCTAGCCTTACCTGATATAGCCTGCACCGCCACTCGCAGGAAGCCCTTCACCTCGCCCTTCTCACTCACGATGGCCACCCGGTGGACCAGAGGAACTGGATACAGCAGGTTGCTCAGATAAACAAAAGCCCTGGATAGGAAGCAGAAAGAGATAGCAAGAGAGATGATACAATCTTAAAAACAAGTATTAAACTTTTATAAAACATTACTGAACAGGACAACAGAACATAGAGCTGCAAAGCAACCAAACAGAAGCTGGGACTGCTCTTGCGACGGCCATGGCTGCCCTTTACTATCGCTGTGTGGGGGCTTCTCCTCACCACCTATAGATAAGGACATTAACAAGACAAGTATGGGTCTCATGCAGTATTGCTTAACTTGTACTGATGACATTTTGGTGAGGCTAAGGAGCATGTGTGTAAGGGTCAACTTTACATTCTTTAAATGACTGCAAAATATGGCAAACCAGCTCACTAAGCTGGACAGCATTGCTTATCTACTTATAAGCAATCAAATTCATCCCTGAAATCATGTGTTTTCATTGTTTAATGATCATTAGCTACGGCACAAAGATTTGCATTGTGCTCCAATTTGAAAATATTACACTAAATCAAGTAAATCATAAAGACTAACTAATATAAATGTGTGTTTACTCAAAATGCTACTATTTCCTGTTTTTTCGATATACTTGATCTTGCAGTCAAGGTGTGCATTTTCTCATGGGGGGTAGACATGTGGTGACAAGTGTAAAAAGGGAGAGGCTTAAGACAAGATTGGTGAGGTGCAAAGAAGGCATGCTCAGGACAAAAGAAAAGGAGAACAAAAAATGCGTTCAACTTCTCGACTTAAATGAATCAAAAGCAAATGGAACAGAAATCATCATAGGTAACATAGCTCAGCCCGAATCAAAAACTGCCAACAGTTTGATATAGTGAATGCTACAGCAAAAAACAAAAACACGAATGACATCAGAAAACAAAGTGCACCCCGGGCGGAAAGTGCTAATTTGTGCAGAGGGGCACTAGTTCCTCTTCAGATGAATTCAAGTAAAAAAATTGACAAAAAAGGTCAAAATGAAAAGACTTGTGCTCTGGCATGCCTAAAAGAGACAGCTGCAGTAGAAACCAGCTCTTTCATCTTGAGATTTTGAGTCTTCTTGAACACCATTTTGCTATTTCATGAGTCACTCATTCATGTTTCACAGCAGGGAGAGAAGATTTCGCTGTTGGTTCCTGTGTTATGCAAATCAGACCTGAATATTACTCCATGAGACATGTCAGTGCTTTGCGAGTGAATGGTCTTCTGTAAAAGCCACAAGGTTGCTTTTAGCCACAGATAAGTGAGACATACACTTCAAGCAGCGGTTGAGCATCAACTTTGCTTGAATTTCCATGGAAACAAGTGAACTGACCCCACCCTGGGCTGACATAAACAACTTGTTCTGAATTGTAATATGCAGAAAAAGCATTTAACCTGTTTAGTGTGAAAAACAAAACAGTTAGCAACAAAAGAAAACCAAGAAAGACAAGCAATGTTCACATTTTTTATGAGATAAAAATGTAAAACAAAGGATAAACCTCAAAGCCCAGAAATGTCTACTCCAGCTGTCTCCGAACGCAGAATCATGTTCATGAAAAAATATGTGTATTGGTGTGAAATTTGAGAACAATTGTGTCTTAAACATGAGGCAAAATGACAGTGACAGCTGAGACGGAGAATAGAAACTAAAGTGGTGAACTTGACTTGCGGTCAGTTCAGCTCAGGATCCAAAATACCTATTCTCCCTCTTAACTGTAGTGCTATTTATCAATGAACATTGTTTTGGTGTGAGTTGCTAAATGTTGAAGACATGAGCTGTAGAGATGACTGCTTTCTCTCCACTGCCACTAGATTGCTAGTTTGAAAAAGTGCCAACAAAATATATTTGGAAAAACTCAACAGGAATTTATCTTTCCAGAAATCCTAACAAGGTAACTCAAGACCATCCTCAGACCTTGTGAGTAGTTCCATGCAGACATTTCTTTCTTTCTTTCTGTCATGACAGAAGAGGCTGGTGACAGTGAGCAGATGGAACATTAGCTAGCTCTGGAGAGCCTTTGTCCATAAGTAAATGGACGCTTCATCGCGCTGTGAGAAGGTTGTCGGGTGTAGCTCAGTAGAAAGAATATAGATCCTACATAAAACTGCTCACAACACGGTTTATTGATAGCTTAAGTAACCTAAGCTTAAGAAAATAAACATTGCTGCTGCTAGTGCAATGTCTTTTTGCTGCCTCGAGCACCAGAGGCCACTGGAGAGAGGGCAAACATATCTAAGAAGACCGATATCTCCTGGCAACAAACACCAAAACTATTTATACTGATAAGCAAGAGGGAAAACATGTATTTAGATTTTGGGGTGAACTGTCCCTTTAAGAATGTTTTTCAAATCTACACTAGAGTTAGCCACCTTAAATGTCTCCATGTTGATATTACAACTATAGCTTCCTTGACCCAATTGGACAGTAGAGTGAAAAAGGGTCTTTGTAAAAACCCTCTGACATCTGAATCTGTGTCATGCTCGTTGTTTTCAAAAATGTGGTTTCCTCTGTGCTGATGTCTACTGCAGGACACAGACCCCGTGTCTCAGCGTGAAAGAGCTAGTTTCCTCCACCAGCATGCTCCTGAAACCTCACCAACCTTCCCACTACACTGAATAATGGTGAGCGGTCGTAAAAGGGATCCTGGCCTTCGCCGGAGCCACGGCAGAGCTCTCTCTCATCATCATATCCATCCTCATCATCATCATCATCCTCTCCCCCGAGCTCCGAGCACGGGTCGTCCAAAAAGATATCATCATCCAGGTCCTCCAACTCTTCCAACTCCTCCTTCTCCCCTCGACCCTCCCTCTGCGGCTCAGCCAGCTCGGTAATTTCAGAATTGGAGAGGGTCGGGGATGGAGTAGGGTCACTCATGCGCTCGCTCATGCATGTGTTGAAAATGGGGTTTCTGGTGCAGCCAGAGACATGGGAACTAGGTTAGAACAGTTAGAGAAAGTACACACTTCAAACAAGAGGGGGCTTTCACTGTCTGTTTCAGTGTGTACAGTGGAGACATAGAGGAGTACGACGGTGCAATAGGGCCATTGTAGGTATGAAAAAGATGTACATAAATAACAAAGCCAGGGGGAAGTAATATTACGAGAAGAAGTCGTTAATTTCATAGAATTGCCTCAAATATTGTCTGAGGATATTGAGTCATTAATTTAGTCTTGTCAAGAATCCACCTTCACAGATGCTGCATGTAAAAAGAGAAGCCCCCCTCACAGGTTGGTGAGGGGGAGCAGCAGCATGGAACTGTTGTGTTGCAGTTACTGGTGCACAGAGGCTCATCAAAATCACCATGTGGTTTTATTATGAATAGGGTCAACTTACGGCAGTGTCTTTTCAAAGTGTGTATATTTATGATAATATGGTATTTCTGGTCTAAAATCATTTGTTTTTCCAAAAAGCTTGAACCAATTGCATTATCTAAATGTGTTCAGCTCATCCACTGCAGGCACAGTAATCTGTGGTGTGATGAGGTTGACCCAAACTATTTACAAGTGATAAACGTGGTTTCAACACACAGAGGTTGTTGTTTTTTTAAATAAGACTATAATTCTAGGGAATGCTCAGGTTTTTTGTACATTTTGGATTTTTTAAATAGTAAACAGTACCACTTGAATCTCAGACATTATGAGTTTTCTCTCTGAATATTACCCCCCTCCACTTTTCTAACCTACAAAGGCCCCAGTGCGCTGTTGTAGAGAACAGATGGGGCAGGTGCGTCTATAAAGAACTGAAGGGTGCCAGGAAGAAGATGATGATTGACAGCCTGTAGAACAAAGATAAGCTTCCACAGAAGCAAAGGTTGGGTGATCTTATTTGTGTTTATTCAAAAGCCTTTATAAATGTGACAAATCATTTACCTTAAGTTATTCATAACTGCTGTTGTAAAATACTCAATTAATATGAGAATCATTTGAATACAGTATACCATCAATGGTCTAGGAATAACTGTGATTGCTCTCCATCAGGAGTTTACTGAGCCGAGCTCTCTGCTGGTAAGCTTACAAAGCTTTGGTGTCTTTAAAGTTCTAGGTGCGAATACACACACCAAATAAAATGTTTGAATACAACTTTAGTTGATTGCTGGTAAGTCATTTGTCTAGAAAAATTAGGGGACATTTTTCACCCTAATCATTTTTGCTTGTATTGCAGGAGCTACATGTTATTACAGGCTTGATGCTGTATTTTAAGTAACAGGGCCGTGTGTGTGAGAGAGAGAGAGAGAGAGAGAGAGAGAGAGAGAGAGAGAGAGAGAGAGAGAGAGAGAGAGAGAGAGAGAGAGAGAGAGAGAGAGCTTGGTAAAGAGGTGTGTGCCAAAGTGTGAGAGAAACAAACAGCAGGCTCTGAGTGGGAGGACTGATGAAACCTTGCATTCAAATGTTTCACGGCTGATTTTCTCATTAATGAAGACATGCCCGGCAGCACGACATGTTCCAATCATTACAATTGGGTGTCTGTATCTGTCCTTTGAAGCTTTGAGCTATGTTGAGGATAAATACACTGGTTATCAGAAAAGAAGAGTATAGTTCAATCTTCTCAGGTATGAGAGGATATGGTACATTTAAATATGCTCAATTGATACTTTTTTGATGATACCAAGTTAGTTCTTCATACAAATACAATTTTCTTGAAACTTTCTTGAGTTGAAATAGGTTTGATGATAGTAATGCAAATGACAGCCATCAGTATGTTATAACGAAGACACCATAATGACTACTTCACGCTGATGTCTCAGTCATTATGCTCCATTAGTTGACCCCATTCACAACATGTGCTAGTCTTGGCCCACAGCCTCCCATCTTCCTGGATGGAGTGACTAACATCTGTTTGCTCGCTGTTGTTGACCTTTGTATGAGTTTGAAGGTTTTCCTGTGTAGGCCAATGGTGTTCAGCATTTACCTGCCAACCAGACGGAACCAGGGGAAGCGGTCATAAAAGGGGTCTCCTCCGGTCATCACATTTTCACCGTCTTCAGTGGTGTTGTTGGGTACATCAGCAGCGCGATCGTACATTTCTCTCATCAGGTTCAGTCTTTGCCTGCAAAAGCAGTAACAGTTGCCATATATATTTATATATATACATATACATACATATAGTCATCATGCTGAAATTAAGCAGTTTTCTTCCCATGAAAACTGTGATATTAATGAGGAAGACCCAGTCCACATGCAAACAGAATTTTAGGTCCATAAAACTAAGATTTGTGAAAATGTCTTGGGAGAAACTCAGGCTTTATAGGTTTAAGAATCTTGCACATGTTGACTGCATGGGGGGGTTGAACCTCTGACCTTCCAATTCCAATCGGAACAAAAGGGGAAAAGGTTCAGTAGACATGCTCGTAATATAGCATCTGAAGTCGTTGTGTGGTTCTTTTGTAGATCGTAAAATTAAGACAAATATATTTTTACATTAAGCACAAAATATCTTTCTACTAAAATGTCCATGCCATGTAAACATGGCCTAATACTTTTGATACATTGACAGTTTATCAGTATACTTTTAAAACATTGTTGACTAAGGACTTCGGTGCATGTTGATGTACCTCAGTTTTTCTAATGTCCAGTAGTGAGTGGCTCCATTTTTCTGATCCTGCACCTCCACGGCCAGAATGGTGCGTGGGAACTGTCTCTTCTCTATGTCCTTAGCTTCCTCTGGGGGCAGCAGGTCTGGAGGCAGGGGGGAGTAAAGGGTGTCTGTGAGCAGCACAAACTGGAACTGGACCTGTAGAGGCACAAAAACATTGCTTTGGTCAGAGGGATATAATATAACATCAATATGGGTATACGTTGAAATGAAGATAGCACTATGGACCTTCTTCTTAAGCTCCACACTGATGGCGTTGGCCTCCTTCAGGAAGATGGCGTTCCCCCACAGCAGGTCCCTCAGAGAGGTGAACTGGTAGCAGCGCCACTTACGGAAGCTCCACACAGCCAGCTCTAGTTCCCTCTCTGTCCATTGCACTGTGCGGAGAAAGGATACAACATCATCATTTGGTAAAGAGTTGCTTACTACCAACATCGATATGTGTGTGTCTCCAATCAAATGCACTACCTTCCTCTTCTGGCTCCTCCTCCTCTTCAAGGGTTTCTGGGTAGTAACTGTCCACTTGCTTCTGAAGAGCCTCCAGCTTGCTCTCATAATCCTAGAGCATTCATTAATGAAGACCAACGTCAACAAAAGATACTGAGGAACACAGACAGTTGAATAACTCTGATGTCAGGGAGTCTGCTTGATTGTCATTATCGTTCAAACGAGAAAGCAAAATGAATGCAACGTGTTCTTTTGATTGTAATATCCACATTTTCTTCTTGCTAATTGAATACTTTCATCTATTTTTCTATTGGGAGTTAGGGTTAAGGTTAGGGTTAGCATAACATATAACCTACAATGGCGATCATCTTTTTATTTTTTTCACCAATGTTTGCTCTCTCTCTTTTATTTTACATATAAATACTCAAAATGAAGCTATATTAAACATCCACTTCCCTATGGCTTTATGTATTGTCAACAGCACACACAGCTGCTCATCACTGTACCAGTCTTTGCTGCTCCAGGAGGTTGTTTGTTTCCTCTCTTTCTTTACGATACTGGTCCTCCAGCTCCTGCAGCCTGAACACACAAACATCAGAGAACAAAACAGGTTTGAAAAAGTAATGCACCACTTTGGATTTCACACCACTGCTGGTAAGTATCTGGATTTCATTTGGTGTGCACTGTACTGAAGGCTTCTTTCATTTGGCATGTATCAACGTTTGAACTACCAGTAATATTCCTCCATGTCTTTCCTTCTTATCAGTTCCTGTCTACAATATGGTGGTGAGGAACTTTTATGCCACGCCCAATGCCTCTCTTAAAAAATTCCAATTAAATATCTCAGTATTTCTCCCAAAGTACCTCTGTTCCATTTCCTGTTTCATGTCGATGCCCTGTTTGTCCAGCAGCTCCCTCTGAGCGAAGGCCCAGTCCACCGGCTCAGCGGGGGTCTCTGCACACGGAGTCTTCTCCCTCTCAGCCCTGGCCTGCTCAGGGTGGTTGAACCGGAACACATGGCTCTTCCCCAGGATGATGCGATTTCCTTTTGGGAAATAAATAATGCAAAAAAGTACATATACTGTAGAATATACCCCATACATATTTCTACTAGTTACCATGCGGAAACAAGCAAGATAAAAATATTCTCTCCTGTTTTGTTTTGAACCTGTGAAACAGATTACAGTTTAGTCCTATTTAGAACATGGGGTAGTGGTGCTCTTATGCCTCTTGGGACCAAAATGAGTATTACAAACACTTCTAAAATTCACCCTATCAAAGAAATTCCACCTACCAAATTATTTTTTTACCAGAGTATTGTTAGTCCACAATCACAAAGGAGATAATTCTCATCTTCTCTAAGGACTTCCGTAGCATCATGTGTAAGGAAAGATGTCATTCACAGAGGGCTTACTGACCTGATTTAAGGACAGTGGGCTCTGCCACTCTCTTTCCGTTGACATAAGTCTCAGCTCCTTCACAGGGCTCCAGGACAACCGCTGTTAGGAACAGAGGGCAATATGAGGCTTCACTTCCTTTCTGTCAAAATGAAACTCTGCTGTACACAGGCCGTGAAGGTAATATAAAATGGCTCACTCTCTCCCATTGGACCAGTAGAACTGGTGAAGGTGCAGTGCTCATCCTTGATGAAATGTCCGCTGAGGACTATATCCTGACGACTGTTGGCGTCTACACGACCTACCCTAAAACAAAAAGGGAGACATGATGTCAGAGAAAACAATAAGGTACTGAACATGCATTAAAAGGTCAATTGGACCATACTTGTTTTGTGTCGGACAACAATATGGTAAGGAGAGTACAACCTCATCAACGTGGTTGAATCAGCTGAATATTTAGCTCTGATTTAAAAAATATTTTAGTGAAAACTCAGCTACGCTTTCTTTACTCTAACATAACAAACTCTTCCAGGCACATCTCTCTCCATCTGTCCATCAAGTTTCCACTGTTAACCTAACACCTGGCAAGACGAAATGAAAAACAGAACAGATTTGCAAAAGGTAGAATTCACTGTACAATCTGGGCCTGTCAGTGACCAAACTAGCACTTCAAGGGGACGTTCATTGACGGGGCAGAATACCCGATAGGACTACAAAGCAGCTCGTTTCACAGCTGACAGCTATACCAAAAAGAGTCCAGGTTGAAGAATGCAAAACCAGTCTTCTTTCAGCACTTCATCTGGACCTAAGCAAAGGAGGAACATCCGTCCATCAGTAACCAACCTGGTGATCCCGTCTTTAATGTAGTACAGCAGGCACTCAGACATCAGGGGATCCTCGTTTAGATTCACCAGATGAGGCGTCTGTTGAGGAATAAAGGATAATTAACTCATATCATTTACATAGATCATTCATTACCCATATGTTATGTACAATATAACATGTGCATCAAATCAGAGCACATCAGAGAGCTGAAAGGCAATGTTTCCCAGTAACAAACATCAAACAATCAGAGCTAGTTAAAGCATGCACAGCTCCACAGCAGGAGTGTTTCAGTCTGCTGCTGTGGGGCTGCAGGCAAACAGCCATAAATCACTGAAATGGGGACACTAGCATTATCTTGTCCCTGTGTTTACACCCATTGCTGTCTTGAGCGCAGTGAGGGAGTGTTTGCAGTAAGTAATGAAGAAGATTTCAGATAAACCTTAATGAAAAAGAGAAACCCTCGACTGATCTGCATGGGAGATGCTTCTGTTGAAGTGAGAGAGCACTCAGAGAAGGAGGCAGCTTTAAACACTTCACAGCTACAAACCTCGTTGGGGGAAAACAGCCCGACTGTGTCGATAAACACAGGCTGGGGCCTATTAGGGTTATCCGATGGCTTTGGGGTAAATAAACAAGCATTTCAGTCAATCGTTTCAATGGTAATCACAGAGGGCTTTACAGAGGTCTCATATCTGTTTACCTTCTTAGGAGAAAACACACCCACTGTCCCGCCGTCTTCTCGCATTGCTACACCCATTTCTGCCAGCAAGGCCTCTCTGTGGATGAACATCAGACTCGTTATACAAAGAGGTCAAGATACCTCATTTATCAACATACAGTATGCTACAGTATATTGTTAAATACTTCATAAGTAGCTAAAACCTGAGGCCAAGGAGTTAAAAAAAAAGGCAATGTTATGTTGTTTATCTCACCTTTCCATTCTGATGGCCTCCGTTCGGCGAAGTTTCTCCTCCCAAGTCTCATTGAGTTCAGCAATGATTTTCTCTGTTTCCTGACATTTTAAAACACAGTGGTAATTAAAGCAAGTCTTTTCAATAACAGCTCTAGTGTTCTATTTGTCTCTTTTTGACAACAAATCCCATGAAATCATGAAATGCTTTGAAGCTCCATTGTTTGTCGATAAACTTTAAAGATCATTAATGAGCCAGGGTCAGGATAGATGTGGGCACCGTAGTTTATTATTAGGCCATCCCACATTCAGTGCAGGGCCCTGCTAGAACTAATACTCATCTTAAAATAGCCCTTAATACAATTTATTTCATGTTTGAGTAGTGTTTCATACAAATGACAGTGAGCCACTGTGAGAATACTTCTCCCTCACCTCTACTATCAATTCACTACAGGTATAAAAGTCCCCCAAAAATATTGGAGTGGCATTCACAAATCATCAAGCACAATATTCGAGTCTCAAATCTCCCTGACCTTGGAAACTTTGAATCTGTGCATCAATGTGTAAAAATCCAGTAAAACCTACGCTGAAAGTGTGAGTTACGGCCCAAACAAACTGTATTTCTTAATATGTCCTTCTGGGCATATGCAAATATACATATATAATAAAATAAACTAGAAACGTTTTTTAAATATGGAAAAGCTTTCTCAACAATATTGCCTTTTTCAAATAAAACATTTATATTTTAAAAAAGCTTCTCAAAATACTCTTGACTTGAAATGTATCTTGATATGATCTGACCATATGTGGCTGCTACCTGCAGTACAGTCACACTGTGTAAACGCAGAGTTAATAAACAGCAGAATGCGCGCTCACCTTCAGCCTCTCGATGGCCTCCTCGCTGCCCGGGCTGAACATGATGCGGTCGTGCAGACTGGCGATGGATCCGGCCCGGCTGGACAGGACTGAGAGAGACGGAGAGGGACTCATCCCCGTCATGGCATTGGTCACTGTGGAGAAATCATCCCTTTGATTCACAGCTTGGCCATTATAGTTATTGTTCTTGTGATCGGATAGGTCTGGCGGGGTGTGTACAGGAAGTGGGGTTGGGGTAATCGCTAGTATTGGAGTAAAGTAATAGAGAAATGCAAACATAAAAGGAAGAGAAGAGAAGGAGAGATAGGAAAGAAAAAGAAAGAAGATATGTGGCTTGAAACAAGTCTAACCCACAGAGAGAACATTAAATTGCTAGTGTGCAAGCGAGGGCAGCAGCAGCAGAAAGCCACGCGCAGGGGGGGCGATAAGAGATGCAACAAGGAGACCGTCCAGCCAAGACCAAAGAAAAAGCAGCTATTACATAAAACCATCCAGCAGGAAATATTTAAATGAAAAAAATGCTATTACCTGAATAAACATTGCTTATTTGCTCTTCGAAAAAAATAGCATCTTCTTTTAAGGAATTAAATTGCTCCAACCCAATCAAGCAAAATAAAATGAGTCGTGGAATATAAAATATATTAGCTAGGCAGCCCTTTGTTCACAGACAGAATGACTCATTTGTTATAGGGTCTCTGTCACGATTTTAGTTTTGTCTGTTTAGTCATGGTTTTATTTTGAATTTCTGTTCTCCCTGTGTCTCGTCTTCCTTCCTGTGTTTGCCCTCCTATGTCTGATTGTCTGATTGTGTTCACCTGTTGCCCTTGTGTTTCTGCCTCCCCTGCCCAGCTGTATCTTGTCCTGTGATTACCCTTCTGTGTATTTAGTCTTGTCTTCCCCTGTGCTCCATGTCGGTTCGTTGTCTTTTCTCACTCTCCATGTTTGTCACTTACCTCATGCTACCTGTTTATGATTCATGGTTTTTGTCTTTGTTTTTTCATGCCAACAGCTTTTATTAAATAAAGCTCGCTTTTGTTTTGAAACCCGCTTCCCTTTTTAAACTGCATTTGAGTCCTAATATTCCCGGATCCTGACAGTCTCATTTCCTGCAGAGAACATTGGGAAGCCAGAAGTCTAAATGAAGATAAATATCTAAAAGAAGCAAGATGCATGTCATGCTGAGTGTGCCTCACAAATTATAAAATGTCAAACCAATGACTGAAAGCAGAAATCCATTTCTCTGGCAGAGGTTCAGACATGATGGTAAGCTTATTTTGATCGCAGTGAAACTTCAGTCTTCAGTGGACATTTATGTTTAATTTATATTTAATCAAGATAGTCTACCAACACAGCTCACTTTGCATCATGTTTCCTGTTTTCTGTTCAGTGTTTTATTGTTGTGGCACCTTGAAGGCATATGACAGATACAACAAAAAAAATCAACCCTGCAGCTGCTGCTATGGCAACACAGAGCAATACATTGGAAAACTGTATCACAGCCATCCATCTGGACCGGCTGCTGCTTGCCAAGATGGATCACATAATATCGCCTTTGCAGTGCAGTTAATAAAGTTGTGTATCATAGGAAGACAGTAAAAATGTACGGCAGCAAATTAGATGATGACCTCGCGAGATAAGTGATTATAATCTGTGTGATTGATGCTGCAGCAGCATCTATAAATGCCAACAGGAGGCGATAGTCAGGGAGATTTCTACATCAGGGAAATCAAAGATAGAGATTAAACATTTCTCATTGTCCATAATCTTGCATATACTGTAGTTGCTCTGCGATGTTACTTCATGAACAATTAAGATATGTCCCACCAATGCCACTACCAATGCCACTGCAACGAAGCAATACAGAGATGTATACTGCCCCATGACATGGCATATTCAAGGTAAGAACCAAAAAAGAAATATGCTTGAATCCCCCTCACACCGGGACTGTGCTGTGTATATGACATTAGTATTCCCGTGCGACTCGCCTAGGAACATTGTGACTGATTCTTTATGTCGTGCTGCTGCAGATCACACAGAAACTCTAATGTTTGCGGTCACGTTAAGCGCTGGTGATGCTGAGCTGCCAGAAGAGCAAAAGCAATAGCCAGAAAACCAAAGCAGGAAACGCACATTTCAAACCCTCAATGTCAGCACCAGACGCTCGGTACGCTGGGAGAAGAGAAGAGGAAGAGAAAAACAGACAGCGTGACACCTTAAAGAATATTCATGGATTCTGATATTCTCTTTAAGTTGCTGGGGAACATAAACACCGTTTTGACTAGATGTGTTCGAATGTAACATATCTCTTTCATTTACAGGTAGACCAGAATTCACACCTCTGTCATTCAATGAAGAAGAAGACAAAGTGAATATACTTTTTGTGCTGTTTGAATAAAATAGATACATTTACCCTAATGCACCTGAAGAGCATCTTTCCATTAGACCCTCCATGTTATTGCCCACAATTTCAAACTCCTCACCTCCAAAAGACCTTCTTACACATTCTAACGCTAGCTAGCCTGAGGTACAAGCTCCAGAAAATCACCCTTGTAACGAGGTCACCCCTATTCTCCCAGGGTCCTATGTTCCCCCCCGCTCTATAAAAAACACAATGGGAAACCTGAAAGATGTTCCCCAGCTCTGTATTCACTTAATATGACATGGAATATAGTGGGAACTCATTACAGAGGTTTTCTGTTCTCCTTGTGGCCTTTCATTTAGTATTCCAACAATTTGGCTTAATGCTACCTCAGCTGAAACCAGACTAGCACACTCACACTTCACCTCTGTCTTCTAACTGATATAAAAACATGACATCATGTTATAAATTAATATATAACATAACATTGTTTCAAAAACTGATAACGTAATTTATATGAACAGAACATTGAACTGGGGAACATAGACCCCTGGGAGCAAAGATCAGCCTGTAACCCTGTCCATACTATTTCCTGTCCTGCCTGTTTTTGCCACAACATGGGCGTTAACTGCATTTTGCCCATTCTGGTCTCAATGCAGTCTATAGAGCATCAGCATGTGTCCATCTCCATTCATGTCTTTACAGTGTTTGTTCTGCACTGGCTCTTCATTTGCTTGGTGATAAGAATCACAGAGTATCATTGAAAATAGTTTGCATCTTAACAAAAGGATTTAAAAGGTAAATCTAGAGATAGCACTAATGATCATATCAACTAATAAATGATGTCTCTTACAGTCGATGATGTCCCCCAGGCCCTGGGAGCAGAGGAGGTCTTTCAGACGGGACACCTCCTCCTTCAGCTCGCGCACCAGCCGGTTGTTGGGGTCCTCGTTGATCACAGCGTTGCAGCGAATCTGTTTTGCTCGGTCTGCATACCTGCGGAAATAAGGGAGGGGCCATTGAGCATGTGACACAGGTGATGGACAAAACGTAAGTAACACAAACACACACACACACACCAGAGGCCTGTACGACGAAGCCGGTTCAACATAACCTGGATATGTTTGAGTTAGCCGGTTGGCCTAATGCAAAACATACGCGCTCTCGCTAAACGGTCCTACGACGCTGGTTATCAAATGGATCGCTCAAGCCAGCCGTGTCCTATCTAGTTAGGTGCGCGTTCACATGAAAGGGGTGGTATTTGGAGCATTCGACCAATCACAAACATGGACAAGCGTACTGACAGCGCAGCGTCATACTTCCTGAATGAAAAGTCAACTATAATATTAGACAAATATGAAGAAGTTAAACTTTAAACATCCATGACTTAAAGACTTTATCCAGGATAAAAGCCACATAGCTGCACCTGCAAGGTGAATACAGCTGGTAAAAGAAAAAGTGTTTGAATGCGTACATTAACAGGTTTATGATATCACTGCCCCGTCTAAGACACGATCTGACTTTAATTACATTTGACTCGAGTGTTTTGTCAACTTAATGTGTTGCTTAAAATAATACTTCTGCATACAGTATGTGACACTGTGAGTGTTGCACGGCCAGATACGGCTCAAGAAGCTGACTCAGATAAGGAAATATATGATACAGTATGATGTGATATGATATGAATGATAATGGGACACATCGCCGTCTGCACTCACAGTGCCGCGGACTGTACGTAATGTTACTCTGATCCGGTTACTTATGTCGTGGCAGATATTTAAGTAAGCTTTCTTAACGCTAATGTTATAATAGTCAGATTGCTCTGAAGATGGGAGGTGATATTCTATTAATGTTCACGTTCACACAGTCAGTTGATTTTTGCCGGCCGTCTTTCCTGCAACGGCAGTTTTTCTGTATTTCCTTTCTCCTGTAATATGAATTGATCGCTTTAAACTCCGCACACTGAGCTCTGATTGGTCAGCAGGCAGTGCTTTCACTGACTTGATCTCTTAGCCTGCAACCTAACCGCTCAGCATAAGTTACCATGGAGATCTAGCCCGCTAAAAAGAGAACCAGCGTCGTAGGACCAGAAGCCCCGAGTTTTCCCTGAAGTTAGCCCGCTAAGAGAAAATCCGGCTTCGTCGTACAGGCCTCTGAGCTATTATCGTCAACTGAAACAAAAGCTAAAAAAGAAACTAAAATATTAAAACTAAACCTAAACATTTAAAACTAAACTAAAACAGTAATGCCTGGTTCGTTTTTTAGCTATAATAAAATAACACGACCGAAAAAAGTAGACAGAGTGAAATTCCGTCAACTCAAGTGGCGTCAAACCACAGCAATTAAAGCGACCTGACATTCCAGGAGATGGCGCTATGCTGCGATTCCCTCACAATTATTCTCTATTATTTTACACGTCTTGTAGAATTATATACCAGACAATCATTTACATCATTTTGTAGAACAAATACCATTTAACCGAGAGATTCAGCTCAGGTCTAATGTTCATTTGAGTGTGTCGGTGAAAAAGGACTCAAGTTGATTCCGAAATATTTGAAAATCATGCCTTCACTGTTCTTTATGTATTGTATATTGCTTTGGTATATGTAGCCACATAGTTCTGACTAAAGTATGATGGATGAAAATGAAACCAATAGCAAAAACAATAAACTAACATTTAACTGAAAAGTCAAAACTAAAACAAAACTAAAAATAGATGTACTCTTATTAGACGTATATTATAATATTATACCCTATAACAAATTCAAATCCATACTATATCACACATCCACAGGTCCTGCAGCTCCTACCCATGAAGGGTGTTTGATGTGAGAAACTGATGCATGGGAACGTGTTACGCAACACTTTGTCTCACTGGCATCAGTGTCCTTTAGAGCCACATTCAGCCGCTGTGTGGAAGGGAGACAGACGCAGACAAATGTTCTCTACCTGAGTGTGCTGAGGGTCTCGTCATAATTGATGTCAGCCGGACTCAGGGCAGCAACCATGGCAGTACGAGAATTCCCCCCTGACACGGTGAAGATTCACACTTTAGTCTCAGTTTAGAAATAATATCATTAAGAGCAAATAAATAATGTGTTCATACCCAAATTTTCTCTCAGTAGCCAGGTCAAAACTGAATCTCTGTAGGGGATGTGGTGTTCCACTTTCTTCTTCTTTTTGTTCTGTTATTCAATTAAAACGCAAAGTAAAAATCAATATATATATTGGTATTTATATCAAAGCCCTGAGAGGCAAGAGAGGAACATATAGAGATCTATTTAAGTCTGAGCTGAAAATGTTCTCCTGTGTGTTTATAACTTGAGAACAGGTGAAACTAATATTTTCCAGGATACTCTTTTGTGTTTGTTGTTGTAATACTTATATTTGCCACAAGAGCTTGAAATCGCCCCACTAAATAAGACTAAAACATTTAAAAACCTTATTCTCACTTTTTCCTAAGTCCTAAACACAAAATAATTTTTTTTTATTAGACCTATACATTTAATCACTGGATATATTTTTCTTACATTCCTCTCAGGGCTTCATTTTTGGTTAAGAAAAACAATAAATTCAATACTATTACTAAATACTTTAAGTAGAAAAATAGAATAACTTACTTTGTTTGACCCAGAGTCCTAAAGGAAGCAGACAGTACAATGAAATCATGTATCAAAAAACTGCTTTATCTTATATTATAAACAATGCTCAGATATAATACATACCACTTCTGCCAAAGCAGAGATGACTTTCCCCAGTGTAGTGAGAGATTTATTGATATTTGCTCCTTCCTGTGATAAAGCAAGAAGCAGAGTATAGTATTTTCTTCTAAATATACTGATAAACTGCTTTAATATGGATGTACTGTAGTCATAGTGATCTGTTTCCCATAGGCAACGAAATGTAGTAATGTGTGTTTCTGTATTTATACATCCAAAATGCATTTCATTCAAACATCTCACCTTAAGCCTGGTCCCTTTGGCTCCAGTAGAGTCTGCCCTCTCACTGCCAGCCAAATCCACCAGACTGATTTTGCTGACCTGCAACAGAGCATGCGATAAAAAGACTCTAATAAATAAACTCCAACACATTAGCTGACAACAAAAAAGCTACAGCTATTCATCTTTATCCAGAGACGGCTCTCATTAAAAAAACATCTGTTACCTTATCGTCTACAGTATGACCTTCATGCGATTATTGATTTCCAATTTACGACAAGATTTAAATCAGAGTCATCAATCAGCTCATAGATAAGCAGAGGCAGCAGCTGAATGTTAAATACATCCTGTGAGGGTGTGATAAAGGTGTACCTTCTCAGTGGTGTTATCAGTCTCAGCATCGAGGCGTTTCTGAGTGAATATGATGTTAAAGACGGCATGAGAGCGGCTGCTTGTCTCATTCATGTTGGTGGCAGCCACAGTCCTGCACACACAGAGAAGACATTTCATCAGTGTGTGCAGCAAGCATTTGTTCACTCCACATTTGTGCAGAAAGAGAATGTGACTCTTACAATGACAGAGCAAATTACAAGTCCTGCTGCTTATTAGCTATTGTACGTCTGATAAACCTATCAAAGACACAACATTGAAAGGACAGATATGTAGAATAATCAGCTCAAACATTGCATACATTATAAACAGATTTATATTTCCTCTCCTCTATCTCAGCCAAAATGTCTTTGTTATTTGTGATGTTGGATGTAGGACTTAAAAAAGGAACAGATACATATTTTTCATCTGACCTGTACTGCTAGTCATCAAGTGGGTTGAGATATTCTCTGTCTAAAAAACCTTTTTTCGAAAAACTCAACAGCAACGTTTCTATCCAGAAATCACGAGTGTCATCTGGTTCCATTATATTGGAGAGAAGGCAAAACTATCTCCAACACTCAGCAAATCACAGCCAAACATCAAGAATAATAAATAGCACTACAGGTAGGAGGAAACACAGCGAGTGAAGGGACTGAATGAAAACACAGCTGGGTCACCTGGCCTTGTTGCCAGAGTCCATGAGGTCCTGGATGTCGTTGTAGGAGGTGACAGCCAGCTTGGACAGATCCTCCACATAGGGCCCCATCAGAGGATGTTCTCGCACTCGCAGGTTTCCTTTGTTCTTGGGGTTCAGTAAGTCCCGCACACGTTCACAGTAGATTTCCATGTAGCTTACCTGTTCAGATTCATAATATTTGATTAAACATGTGTTACAGCACAGACAGTATACCTGTATCTGCTTTAGTGTATTAGCATTAGTCACACACTTACCTCCACAGAATATGACTTGCTATTGTCTCCATTGTCATTGAACTTAGTGAAAAGATCTTCACACAGCTGGAAGAAGAAGACAAGACATTACCACAATGCTGAGACATTTCAAATCAGGACGTCTAAAGTAATCCCAGGGAGTGTGTACCAGGGGAATGATTCCTTGTTGGTCCTTGACGTCCTGCTTCCCCATCATGGTGTAGGACTTGCCAGAGCCTGTCTGCCCGTAAGCAAAGATGCAGACGTTGTATCCCTCGAACGCGTGCAGCAACATTTCCTCTCCGATGTCTTTGTACACTTGCACCTGGGAGGCATAATTGATGTCCTCTGGCTGTGGAGAGGGATCAATATTCAGCCACATCTTTAACTTTCTCATAAACCTGACAGACCTGACATATGGTGATTCATTGAGATGCAAATGTGTCTTTGTCAGAGTGTCTGTGCGCAGTGGGGGTGCAGGAAAAGTTACCGAGGTATGGGACCAGTAGGAGTAATCAAAGTTGAAGCTCTTGTTGTCTTTGGCCTGCTTGGGGTTGACGATGGCTGAAAGACAGGACAAGGAACACGAGTTACATGTGAAACTGAATCTGTTGTGCTAGCAGAACGGGAAAAGCCCTCGGCGCCTCCTCTTTCTGAACCAACAGTCACTTACTGTTTGGGCTCACACTGCAGTTTTGGGACTAGAAACTGAGAAACACATTGTCCCCCACTGTAGGTGCTAGCAGGGACTGAAATAGATCCTGGTATATCAGCATGAGCTCATGATTGCATATTTTTGCAAACAAAATACCATCAATTCTCAATTTGTATCAAAAAAATATGTTAATATTACAGTTAATACAATACATATTTAATACATCAATATCAAATAGAATCTACAAAATATTTGTATGTGAGCATTTGATCCAAAATGCTGTAATACTCATTTCAAACCAAAACATGAACGGCTATCCTTTCTTCCTTCTTTAACATGTTAAAGTAGGCCTGATGGCGGTGCTGGATTAGGGGCCATGCTGCTGCCAGGTTCCCTCTCTACCTGGGGCCATTTCAGGCCCGCTCAGACTCAGCGTGTCAGGCTCAGTTCGTCTTTCAACAGTTTCAGTGAGAAACCATCCTCCGCTCTGAGCTGCAGTTCATCAGACACAGCGTTCCTCTGTGAGCCTCCAGAAGTGTTCGACTTCAGTGAATCATATTAAATCCATTGAGGATAGACTGTCAGAGAGGTGCTGGTATAATAAGTCTATGTAAGGCACAGGTGTCTGATCATCACCAATCCAAATGAGACGAATCAGCCATTAGACCCTCAATGTTACACTCAAACAGAAACAAATATATAATATATTATTCACTTTAAATCACCATAATTATTATGGGTATTTTTATTATTGATAAATGATGGTGAGTCCTTTTTTTTCTTTTATCAGAGAATCTGATGCTCTTATATTATTTTTCTGGTATATTTACATCCCCTATACGCCTAGACAATGATCACTGTGATCAAATCTCTATATTAGATATGTCTGCTCTGTAATCTGCTCATTCACTTTAAGTTTCACTCACTTGCCCAGGTTTAAATTCTGGAATAATAGGTTTGTTCTGACAACTTGGCAAATTCAAAAAAAGCTTTACATGAATTCACTACAGATTTTGATCAGTTTTCTTACGACACATTGTTCTGGTGTAGTGTGAAAGGACTACAACTAGAGTTGATTGTGCAATCCTGTGTCGCAGAATGACAATAAATGATAATTGAATTATATTCATAGAGACAATCTGCAAAAACAATGACGGTTCAGTAGAAAAATGCTTTTAAAAACAAATACAGCCTGTGTAATGAGCCCACTGTGTATTCACTCTAATCATTTAAAGACAATTGTAGTTTACTATATTTACTTAAAGGCAAAATACGTGATCAAAAATAGGTTGTTATTTCTAAAGGTAACTATCATACTCAAGTAATGAAATCAAGTTCTTTATATGAATATTGCAGCAGATGGTATTGTGCCCACACAGGAAGAATATATCTGCTGTGGTCTGGTGATGCCAGCTCTCAGATGCTCCTCCTGCTCCCAGAGCTCCAGACACCATTTTCTCTGCTAATGCACAGGCGGTCAATAATAGAGGGAAAGGCCCAGGGCTCTCAAGTACTCTCCCATGTTACTGTACACACTGTTATTTCCTTTCTACACATCCACTGTGTTTGCAACTATGAAATATAGGCCAGTGAGACCGACCCAGGTTTCCGGTTTCAGGCCTATGACAGAAAGATGAGGCCTCATTTACCGACATGATGTGAGCAGGTAGCCTGGCACACGGCCAAATGTGAACACAGACGTACTACAGCTTACACACCATTACCTCTTCCATAATTATCTAAATTCCACACTTATAATTGTTATTAAATACATGACGTGTGATGCTAACCACAGCCACCGAATCAATTAGCTACAAATGTTTTCCATTCTGCTCATTTCCCCTACTGTGCACTGTCTCCTGCCGCAAATGGTCTTTTACAGTAATGCAGTGTTTCCCCTGCCATTGTCTTGGCGGGGCGCTGCGCCTGAAATTCAAGGTGTTTGTTTTTTTGTTTGTTTTTTTTTAATTAAAAAAAAATATATATATATATATATAGCACCAAATTGCAACTTAAGTAATCTATCTACGGTCACTTTTCACATTGAACATGTGCTCTTTTATTAAATAAACTAAACGCCTATGTTATTTATCCAATGTATGTGCATGTTTCAGTGTCCACTGCTTTGCGTATTCACATTCTCCCTCCGCTGTTTCTGAAGGGCGGGGCTCCGCCCCCCCCACACACACGAATGCACACACTCACAATCAGAGACAAGAGCGGAGGAAAGGAGGAGAACAACAAAGTGTAAAAAAGTCAAACAAATCTGCATTATTGCCCCGAGCTCTGCTGTCTGCCCGTTTGTGTCCCCCCCCCCCAGTTTCAAATTCGTTTATTATTATTTTTTAACCTCAAGCCGTTATCGTCACGGAGGAGAAGGACACACACAGCCTGCCCAGGTGGACCGTTCTTATTATAGAGTGGCGAAGTCACGCCCATCTACTTCCGCCCCATGGGACCTTATTTCGGAAAAATAATGTATTGAAGTCAATGGAGAGAGAAAACTTATCTTTCGATCCCGTTTGAATTGTGCCATGAATTACACATATGATGTTTGTCAATCTTAAAAAATCATTTCCATGTCAAAAAAGTCACAGTTTGTCGTAAAACTGTTGAAATATAAGACTATGAAAAATACGCAACTAGAAAGACTACAAATCCCAGAGTCGCGTAAGTGATGTCACAATTGTTTTCCTCCACTAAGAGATAGCTAAGAGATAGCTAAGATAAGATAACTTTAACAAGATGCCTGTGTGCTTAGTACCAGGTTGTTCATACCAGCAATGGGTCTTGCTCGTTCTTTCGCTTCCCGTCTGATGAAAGGACTAGGAGTGTCTGGATCAAGCTAGCTAGTAGCTAGCACGTTAGTTAGCATTACAGCCTTGTCATTTGTATTAGCCTTAACATGAAGTAACATTAAGTAACCCAAAATGTTAAACAGTAAGAGTAGTAGTCATATTTCGTGAACCCTTTGAAGAGTACTGTCACACCGGTGTGATCATTCTATAACACACAATTTAAGCCCGGGGGAGAAATGCTAACGCTAACGCTAGCGATCTTCTCTACTTCATGCTATCTGCACAAATGGTTGACATTAAACATTAAAAAGACCAGGCAGTTCAGAGAGAATCAAAGGAAGGCAGGCAGGCAGCTTTGTATGACTTTCTTCAGGACGTGTTTCATTGTGGTGATAGTGAGGGTAGTCAATCGTTTTGTTGACAAGACAGTAGTGACGGCCATCTTGGTGACGTGAGTTGTTCTGTGAGACCAGAGATGTAGTTCATTGAGCGTTTCACACAAACAAATGTGTTACTTCACAGTTTTACGACACTTTTTTTTTTTTGACTTGCAAAATTATCTTTTAAATTGACAAACATCATATGTGTAATTCGTGGCACAATTCAAACGGGATCGAAAGATAATCTTTCTCTCTCCATTGACTTCAATACATAATTTTTCCGAAATAAGGTCCCATGGAGGTCCACCGGAAGGGGAGGGACATCGCCACTCTATTCATCCATGAGGTGGACGCGCGCGAACGCGACAACGAACGTGTGCGCATTCTAAAAATAGCTCACAGATGGTGAGCAGGTACCGCGGTTTTGAACTACAGTATTGAATTTGACAGAGAAAACAACAATGAAACGCCAGCAGAAGAATAGTCTAATGAGTTGGGTGAAAAAAAAGACAGGAGATGTGAGTTGGTTTATTCAGTAAATTAGCTCAGGATAATTGGATGTTCTGCACCTGTTGATGTGAGGCTAATGCAGGATTTGCTAGCTTGATGCTACCGGCATTTAGCGGCAGTGACTCAACAAATTGCCTCTTAAAATGTATCGTCAGCAATGTATGACAAGCAGACTGCTTGTTTAATGTTAGACTCACACCAATAGCTCAATATGATCATAACACGATTGCTTTCATATCAGAGATCAGATGAGGTGGAGCTGCCTCCAGCAATAGAGGATGAGGCAGAGAGAAGCAGCACAGGGTTGCAGCAGGTATGTTATATGCTGTAGTCAGGTGATTTAAATGTATCAATGAAAGGAAGAAGTGTAGGCTACATGATAAGAAGGGAATACAGTTTGAATAAAAGCAATACAGTGTAACACTGTACTTTATTACTTTTGAATGTACAAGTACTTTGTTACTGTACGATAACAATAACAATAATCCACAGCTCCTCTCTGCTCCAGAGGATTAAAAAAAAAAGAAAATCAAAAAAAAGATTCGGGGCACCCGCCCGTTGGGGGGGTACCCGAGCAACACCCTGCCAAGGCAGTAAACCTAGGGGAAACACTGGTAATGTGTTGTGACATCAGACATCACTACAAAATCCAGTTAGACCTTAATAATGTCTTAGAATTGACAGAACAGCGAACATTTAACAAGCAATGGTTATTAATCCCTCCGTGTTGATGTTCCCCCTTGTTACCTGTTCCAATTACAAAGCCAGACCACTCACAATCGATTACTTTTGTTTTAATACTACCTTTCTGATATGCAGATTAACACACAACAACCCTTCCATTATTGATGAAAACCTGGTGTTTAAAGACCCACTGTAAAAGGCCTCTATAGGTGTGCATACTGTATAAACTGGATTTATCTAACACAGCTGAATGAATGAAGGTCCTTCAAGGTCTCAAGCTGCCACGTGGTGAAGACAGAAAATAAATTGATTGGGTTTCTTGGTGAATAACGCTGACCTCGTTCTATTGAATCTGGCTTCTATAAGAGAATAAAGATGTCAAATAAACCCAATTGAAAAAAGGAAAATGGACAGATTACCTAACCAAACCTCTAAAAAAAATCAAGATCTGACTCTTACCCAGATGCAGTAAGACATCCCTTCCTTGCTTACTCATCTCTGATTGCGGTATGATTCATACAACACGAGCCCCCTCCC